TAAAAAATTCTCTAATGTTAGGCCAAAGCAAATGTAGGAATAGTGAAGAGGCATAACTATAAATAATTTTTCACTTGGGCATACAAAACTAAACAAATACATTCTAAAGAGTTGATTTGATGGTAGTGCATTTAAAAAAATACTTGTGGGTTTTAGTTGATTAGAAACTTAAGTAGCCTCACTACCAAAAATAATTTAAGTTTAGGCTGCATTAAAATGAGGTTACTATCTAAGGCAAGAAAGTTTTTTTGTTCTATGAACTATTAAAACTACAGTAAAACGACTAAGTTCTGGGAGCCACTCATTAAGAGCAATAATGACAAACCAGAGTGTACCCAGAGGAAAATGATTTCAATGAAAGATCTATAAACTACATGAAAGACATCTAAATATAAATTGCTATTCTCTCAATGCTTACTATAAACTAGGTCCTGTCCTAAATGCTTTACATCCATTATCTGATTTTATCTCCTCACAAGGGTCCTATGAGGGTGTTGTTATGCTTAATTTACAGGTAAGATCATTGATGCTTAGAGAAGTTAGGTATCTTTTGTCGAATCACAGGACTAATAGTAAATGGTGTACCTAGGCGATAAGCCCAGGTTTGTTTTGATTTTAAAGCCTGTGTTCTTAAACACTACTACACTGCCTTCAAAAGACTGGGAAAGTTCAACTTGGAAAAGAAAAAAGTCTCAGTATGAACATAATTGTTTTTGAATACACTACTGCCAATTATGTGGTTCCTGAAAACAGAATTATGACCACTGAATGGAAATTAAAAAGAGGCAGATTCAGTCTATCTCAAAGTATATTATTCCGTTCTCACACTGCTATGAAGGAATACCCGAGACTGGGTAATTTATAAAGAAAACAGGTTCAATTGAGTCATGGTTCAGAATGGCTGGGGAGGCCTCAGGCAACTTAAAATCATGGCAGAAGAGGAAGCAAACACGTCCCTCTTCACATAGCAGCAGCAAAGAGAAGAATGAGCAAAAGGAGAAAAGCCCCTTATCCCTTATAAAACCATCAGATCTCATGAGATCACACTCATTATCACCACTAGAACAGTGTGAAGGTAACCGCCCCCATGATTAAATCACCACCCACTGGGTCCCTCCAGCAACACATAGGGATTATGGGAACTACAATTCAAGATGACATTTGAGCAGGGACACAGACAAACCATGTTGTTAAAAGGAAGGGGCTTTAATAATTAGAAGTGCTCAACAATTGACTAAATTTGCTGGTGAATGTTCATAAAAGCCAAATGAAAATATAGTATTACAAATGTTACAGAAGGACTCTCGTATTGGCTGAGCCTGACAGGGCCTGGCAACCTCCAGTACAATTCTCACTGTAAAATCTGGTGGAGAAAAAAGCAACTAAAATTTTTCAGCATAAATATTGTTTTTTCAACTTGAAAAGAGTTGAATTTCTCCTATGAAACTGTGAATTTTTTAAAAATCAGTATAAAAATACATCTAAGTGAACAGTGTAATTTGAATGTTATTCTAAATATAGGCTGAATTTTATAATTAAATGAGAACTCTTCAGGCAGGCTAGACTGGGCTTACACCTATTTTTGTAGGATTTTAGATTCTGTAAAATATCTTACACAACAACTAGCCATTTTTTTTAGAAGACTGTATTTTCATATTCACTGCCAAGCAAGCCAGTACAATACAAGGGAAGAAGGGAGAGAGGAAACAAGAGGAAGAGGAGGAGGAGTAGGAACAGGAGGGAGAGCATGCTTTCAAAAGGAGTAGCTTTTCTCCAAAGTAGAAGCCAAATCTATTAGGTTCAGTTGTACTAAACACACAAGTTCAGTCATTGTGAAAAGCAATTTGGTGATTCCTCAAATAACTCAAAGCAGAATTACCTCTCAACACAACAATTCCATTATTGGGTATATGCCCTCCCCCAAAAATAAATCGTTCTACCATAAAAACACATGCATGTGTATGTTCATCACAGCATCACAAAACTATTCATAATAACAAAGACATGGAATCAACCAAAATGCCCATCAATGGCAGACTGGATAAAGAAAATGTGGTACACATACACCATGAGTACTGCACAGCCATAAAAAAGAACAAGATCATGTCCTTTACAGTAATGTGGATGGAGCCAGTGGCCAGTATCCTAAGTGAATTAACACGGGAACAGAAAATCAAATACCGCATGTTCTCACTGACAAATGGAAGCTAAACTTTTGAGTTCACATGGACACAAAGAATGAAAGAACAGACACCAATGCCTACTTGAAGACAGAGGGAGGGAGGAGGGTGAGGATCAAAAAACTACCTATCAGGTACTATGTTTATTAACTGGGTGTAGAAATAATCTGTACACCAAACCCCTATGATATGCAATTTACATATATAACAAACCTGCACATGTACCCTGACCCTAAAATAAAAGTTAAGAAAAAAAGAATAAAAGAAATAGATCACATGGCCCAAAAGTAAAAGGGACGAGGCTGGGTGCAGTGGCTCACACCTGTAATCCCAGTACTTCAGGAGGCCAAAGCAGGATTACTTGAGCCTGGGAGTTTGGGACCAGCCTGATCAACAAAACAAGATCACCACATCTAGAAAATGAAGAAGGAACAAGGAGGAGAAAAAGGAGGAAGAGGAGGAGAAGGAGAAGAAAAAGGAAGAGGAGGAAGAAAACATAGCCTTTACTGAAATGCAGAAATTATTTTTGTCTTGTTTGGAATTGGTCCATTAAATCTATTTTACCACTTTATGCTTCATCACTGCCCCTATTCCAACATGCTTCAAAAGATAAATGCAAATCTTTATGAACTATGTATTTCATAATCAACATTTTAAGTCTTAGAATGAAGAGAGTGAGACAAAGGACAACTAAATGGCTATCATCAGGTAAATGGTCAACACATCCAAAACATAGTCTGGGTTTTCTGAATTTTCATCCCATTTTCCTTCTTATTAGACATTCACTCACTAGAGGCTGCTGCATCTCACAAGTGTCTACTATCTACATTTCTCTTCAGAAGGGATAGTTTTCCAATTAGTGGAAAAGCTGGATAAATAATACTTCTGTATCCCTGAATAATGCAATAGCAATAAAAACTGTAAAGGCCTTTATTAAATAGCTTCAGGGAGCGGGGGCAAAGAGAAAAAAATTTTACATAAAATACTAACACATTAGCTCCAAATTTCATGATATTCCAAATGGGGAAACTGCCTCCATGTTTTTACCTCCAAAGAACAGAGGACAGTCTTATTTTTCTCCTAATACAACATTTGGAAGTAGAACCCAACTGCTCAGCAAAGTGCCTAAAAAGGAGACTATTTCAGTAATTTTTCTTTTTCATATTAGCAGCAAAATGGAAGGGGCATGGTCTAAGGCATGCCAAATTGTGTTTATTCTTCCATTTTTTTCTACACTTTAATTTATTATTTTCTGAGTTTTACATCAATTCAGCTCTCTTGTTAGAGATGCTTACTTTTTTTAGTCCTAAGAAATACTTGACTGCCTTGACAGAGTTGTTTGTCAAGCAGGTTAAGTTTCTCCAAAGATATAAAAACTAATGAAAAGAAAGTTTAAACTTATATTCAGAACTCTTAGTCCTTAAGCAGTGGTGTGCTGATAAATGTTTAACAAATGTCTGGGGTGGAGATGGGGGTGCATTTGCAGCTAGTATCATTTGCCAATTTCCAGGCTGTAAATATTCCACCATACTCAATTTCAAGCTATGAATATGATATGACATTACTGAGTATGAACTTGGGAAAAGATGCACACAATCAACGCTCTGGAGCAAGTAAGAGCTACAACCAATGCATCACTGTGATCTTAAATCACAGATTACTATCCAACATATAGTATTCTCATTTGTAGTCATGTATATTTTTTAAAGTAAACTTTTAAAATTTACATGGTGTTCACAAATTCCCCCTTTTGCTCATAATTTATTATTAAAAGGGCAAAATTGAGAGTTTTTAAAATCACAAAAAAAGGCAAAATAGGCATTTAGAGTTTTCCAGGGCCCCAGACATATCCATTGTCTTTAAGAGGGAGGAAAAAGCCTAATTGTTTCTTCCTAGAAATATTTAAATAGTTTATTTTATTTAAGGGTCTAGAGTGTAGAATTATTTTAGTTTTCTAACGTAACATGGAACTGCCTTATGGAGAGTATTTAAAATGAGAGATGCTTGCAAACAGTCCCCCTTTTATAAATTAATTTTGTGATATATATTACATGGTACATAAAGTACATCATATATGTAAATATAATTTACATATATATTAAGCTATGCATAAATATATAATTGTATCCAAGGTCAAGAAATAGAACCAGCAGCCCAGAAGATCCCCCTGGTGTGTTTCTTCCTATCATAATTCTCTCCCAGCCCCTAGAGGTAAACAATAAAATGACTTTCAGTATAAATATTTATTTGATTTTGTATGTTATCATCTGTAAAATATCAATATGCAATTAAATTATTTTTGCCTATTTTCAGATTTCTTATGTCTAAAATCACACTGTATCTTTTCTTTCTTCTTTCACATTATATTGTTTGAGATTCATCCATATTGTTACTATATAGGGGAGTCTTGTTAATCTATTTTAGATGGACTTCTTTTCTCCAGTTTTTTAATATAACAAATTATGCTTCCATGAATATCCTTACACACATATACATAAGATTCTCCAGGGTATATATACTTAAGGGTGGAATTGCTGGGTTATGGGATCCATGAATCTTCAGCTTTGCAAGTTAATGCTAAAATATGTTCCAAAATGATTGTAACAATTTACACTCCCACCAGTTCTGTAAGAGAATTTTGGTTGGCCCCAAATTTCACTAAACCTGGGTATTATCTGGCTTTTAAATTTTTTTCCATTTTGGTAGAGGTGTAAATAATTTCTCATTGTGGTTTGAATTTAAATGAAGCTAGACACATTTTAACACATTTAGACACATTGGCCATTTAGATTTTTCTTTCTTTCTTTTTTTTTTTTTTTTTGAACACATGACTACTATGTTTAATTTAACTGTTACATCCAATTCTGCCTTGGAGAAATAACGAAATGCTCCTATCAAAATGATGTTGTGACGTGAGTACAGGCTTTCTGTTTTGATACAGCTCTAGAAAAATGTTGGCACCAAATGCACTTAAAAAAAAGAGTTAAGGCTTAATACCAATAGAGAGACGAGTCATTTCTCAATGCAACTTTCTGGGTGAGAAGAGGATGCTAGGTTTTTCAATCTTCCAAATACAGGCAGTCCCCAATGTACAGAGCACCTCCCAAATGCAGATGACAGCCACACAGCAGGCTTGCATGTGCAGGAACTCCTCCTCTCCCAGTGACCAGACTAAGCACTGGGAAGAGAGCCCCATGGCCTCGAAGAGGGAAAGAAGGCAGAGCAGGCACAAGGAGAGTAAGGTGAGGGGCTCCTTCACAGCTGCCCAGGGGCTTTTGCTGTAGTTCATGTTTTCCTCATTCCCATCTCTGGTTTCTCCCATCATCCAGAAGTCCCTGCCAAGGGCAGAAGCAAAGAGCTTTTCCTCTCACCTAGTGGACAGCAGGGGCTGGGAGAGTCACAGGTCCCAGCACTGTAACGTCCTATTTCTTCCTGGCAATCTGATTTGGAATTCGTAAATCATTTTTTCTCAATTAAAAAACACTGTTATAAATGTTATTTCATTTCCAGCATTAAATTGTTTCAAGTGACCTAAGTGACTTTGAAGCACAAACCATTCGAAGTGTGTGTAGAGCCACAAAGTCACAAGACTTTGTTTCTTGGCTCCAAAGTCTACAGGCAATCAAAACGGGGAAAGTGTCTTTGGTTGACACAGCCTTGTGCAGACCCTCAATGTGCCAGGTGTGGGAAGGGGAGCTGGGCAGGCAGGCAACTCCTGCAGGTACTTAAGCAGTGAGGCGGCGTGAACCTGACTGAACACAGCTGCTGCTTTTCTAAAGTTAAACAATAATGATGTTTGTAGCACCAAGCATTAGCTTTGTAGGCATTCAGAGCAAAGCTGCCACCACGCAGACATTCTCCTGTAAACAGATGCCCACCCAAGGGAAGCATGAGAACTGAGCCTGCAGCCCTTTAGGGGGATGGGGAGGGGCTTCTGACAATGAAAGCAACACTACCTTTGCATCTCATTAGCTGGGTTATTGAAGCTCAGAGAATTGGACAGCTGTGACTTCACTACTCTACTCCTTCATCTCCTGGCCTAAGGTCTCTAGTCTCTTCTGGAACCTTGTTCGTCAGTTAAATCCATAAGTTCTATAAAGCTTTGCAGAGGGCGGCCTACACAGCTATTCTTCCTCTTTGGTGTACCTGAACAACTGACTTTTTTCTGAAAAGGTGTCAGAAACAGATCAGAGTCAACAGTCATTTATGTAAAGCTGGTATTTAAAATAGCTTTTTATATAGTATTAAAGAATCCAAACCTAAGAACACAAGGTTCCCAAGCATCTCTTCTTTCCACCAACCAATTCAGGAATAAAGGAAGACACAGGAAGAACTCAAATAAGCCACTTACTCGGATATAACTGGATAGATTTTTAAAGTCCTGCAGAGGTCAGTGGGCCTTATTTATGGGAAGAACCGTGGCTCGTGAAAGGAACTGTCTACATCACTGGCGAAAAACAAAACGCCTAGACTTAAGGCTGATGAAAGGAAAAAAGGAAGAATTCACAAGCAAAATTGACAAGTAATGGATCAAGAGGCCTGCTTCTTTGGCGCTGCCTTTCTCACCCGGTTCTGGTCCGGCTGGGATGCTCATCACAGCTTTAAGATTCGATTGGCCGGGCGTGGTGGCTCACGCCTGTAATCCCAGCACTTTGGGAGGCCGAGGCGGGTGGATCATGAGGTCAAGAGATCGAGACCATCCTGGTCAACATGGTGAAACCCCGTCTCTACTAAAAATACAAAAAATTAGCTGGGCACGGTGGTGCGTGCCTGTAATCCCAGCTACTCAGGAGGCTGAGGCAGGAGACTTGCCTGAACCCAGGAGGCAGAGGTTGCAGTGAGCCGAGATCGCGCCATTGAACTCCAGCCTGGGTAACAAGAGTGAAACTCCATCTCAAAAAAAAAAAAAATCCGATTTTGGTTCTCCTTCATATAAGAAAACATGGTCCTTGGGTTTGTTTGGGTGTGCCAAGCGTGAAGTGGCAGTGACCGGGGACCCAAAAATGTCGCTGGTCTTCCCTGCAGGTGGGGTCAGGTGCTGTCGAATCTGCATGGGGGTTGATTCGTCAAAGATACCGCTTCCTTTACCCACTGGGGGATTTGTCCTCTTGGGTAAGTTCTTTGGTTCTTCCGTTGGTCCAAAAATATTAGATACCATCCTATTAGGCCCGCTGGAAGGAGTAGCTTCTTCTGGACTTCCAAAAAGATTGCTCGATTCTCCTCCTGGGGGCTTCGTGGCCCTGGAGCCGGGGCCACCGCCCTCGCTTTCCGGGCCCTGGAACATGTCGCCCACCGCCACCCTCAGCTCGCCGCGCCTAGATTTTTCTTTATGTGAAGAGCCTAGTATTCTTTTTTTCTCTACTTTTTTATGGTAGGGAATACATATAACATAAAATTTATAATAATCATGTTTAGGTGTATAGTTTAATGACATTAAGTACATTCATACTGTTGTACAATCACCACCATTCCTCTCCTATCAGGTACAGAGTTTTCTTTCTTAAAACAAAACTTTGATTATTGATTCAATCTTCTTACTAGGTATAGGTCTATTAAAAACTTCTATTTATTTGTGGTTTAATCTGGGTGAATTTTCTGTTTCTAGGAATTTTTCTATTTCATCTAGGTTATCAAATTTGTTGGTATATAATTGCTCATAGTACTCTATAGACCTTTTTTATTTCTGTAGAATTTGTAGTAATGTTTCCACTTTGATTTCTGATTTTAGTAATTTGAGTCTTCTCACTTTTTTCTTAGTCTATCTAACTTCAGTCAATTCTGTTAATCTTTTTGAAGAACCAACTTTTGATTTTGTTAATCTCTATTATTTTTCTATTTTCGATTTAATTTATCTCTGCTTTAGTTTTTATCACTTCTTTCCTTCTACTAGCTTTAGGCTTAGTTTGTTCTTCTTTTTCTAATTCCTTGCTTTGTAAAGTTAGGTTGTTGGTTTGAGATCTTTTATTTTTTAATATAAACATTTATAGCAATTAATTTTTCACTTAGCAATGCTTTCACTGTGTCCCATAAGTTTTGGTATGTTGTGATTTTGTTTTCGTTTGCCTCTAAGTATTTTGCAACTTCTCCTGTAATTTCATCTTTGTTTCATTGGTTAACAGTATGTTGTTTAATTTCCACAAATTTGTGAATTTTTCTATTTTTTGACTTGAAACTGATATCTAACTTCTTATCTTTGTGGTTGGAAAAGATACTTTGATAAATATCTATCTTTTAAAGTCTATTGATGGAAGATGAGTCAGATGAGACAAAACAAATAAATGGAAAGTCTTTTGAGACTTAGCTTGTGGCCTAATATATGGTCTGTCCTGGAAAATGCTTCATGTGCACTTGAGAAAAATAGGTATTCTGTTGTTGTTGGGTAGAGTGTTCCATATGTGTCTGTTTGATCCGATTGGTTTATTCTGTGGTGCAAGTCCTCTATTTTCCTTATCTTCTGTGTGGTTGTTCTATTTATTATTGAGAATGGGATATTGAAATCTTCAACTATCATTGTAGAACTATTTCTCCATTCAATTCTATTAGTTTTTGCTTCATATATTTTGATAGTTTGTCATTAAATGCATAAATCTTTATTATATCTACTTGCTGTATTGAATATTTTGTTAATATATAATGTCTTCTTTGTCTCTGGCAACCTTTTTTGACTTAAAGTCTATTTTGTCTGATATTACGTAGCCACTTCTATTCTCTTTAGGTCTCTATTTCCATGGAATATCCATTTCTATCCTTTCACTTTCAATCTATTTGTGTCTTTGGATCTAAAGCAAATGTCTTGTGGAGAGCATTTAGATGGATCATGGTTTTCATCTACATCCATTTTGCCAGTCTGTTCTTTTGATTAGATTATTTGGTCCATTTACATGTAAAGTAATTACCAATAAGAGAAGACTTCTGTCATTTTGCTGTTTGTTTTCTATATGCTTTCTAGCATTTTGGTTTCTCATTTCCTGCATTACTGTCAGAAACACTTACATTCTTTCTGTGTATATTCTTTTTTTTTTTTTTTCTTTGAGACAGAATTTTGCTCTTGTTACCCAGGCTGGAGTGCAATGGCACAATCTCGGATCACTGCAACCTCCACCTCCTGGGTTCAAGCAATTCTCCTGCTTCAGCCTCCTAATTAATTGGGAATACAGGCATGTGTCACTACACCCAGCTGATTTTTTGTATTTAGTACAGATGGGATTTCACCATGTTGGTCAGACTGGTCTTGTACTCCTGCCCTCAGGTGATCCATCCACCTCAGCCTCCCAAAGTGCTGGAATTACAGGTGTGAGTCACTGCGCTCAGCCTCTGTGTATATTCTTTAGCCATTTTCTTTGTGGTTACTATGGGATTAGATTTAACATTCTAAAGTTATGTAATACTCAAATTTGAATTTATTTAAGCTTAACTCAACCTGCAGAATTCTGCTACTTTAACAGCTCTATTTCCACACCTTTCAGTTGTTTATGTCATAAAATTACATCTTCATACCTGTGTGTCCAAAATCATAAACTAGTAATTTTTTAATTGACTAGGATCGGTGTTAGTTCTTTTTTAAAATTTTTAATTAATTAATTTATTTTGATGTGGAATCTCACTCTGTCACTCAGGCTAGAGTGCAGTGGCATGATCTCAGCTCACTCCAATCCTGTCCCCTGGGTTCAAGTGATTCTCCTGCCTCAAGCCCCAGAGTGGCTGAGATTACAGGTACCTACTACCATGCCTGCTAATTTTTGTATTTTTAGTAGAGACAGGGTTTCACCATGTTGGCCAGTCTGGTCTTGAACTCCTGATCTTAAGTGATCCTCCCACCTCAGCCTCCCAAAGTGTTGGGAGTACAGGTGTGAGCCACTGCACCTGGCCTTAGTTCTTCTTTAAATGTGCAGTATAATCCAGCAGTGAAGCCATTAGATGCTGAGCTTTTCTTTGATGAAAGACTTTTTATTATGGCTTTAAATATTGTTACTTGCTATTGGTTAGCTGAGGTTTCCTATTTCTTCATGGTTCAATCTTGGTAAGTTGTATGTGTTCAGGAACTTATCCACTTCTGGGTTTTCCAGTACATTGGCATATTGGTATTCATAATAGTCTGTAATGATTCTTTATATTTCTGGGGTCTCATTGTTATGTCTTCTTTTTTGTTTCTGACTTTCTTTATTTGGATATTCTTGCTTTTTTTCTTCATAAGTCTAGCTAAAGGTTTGTTAATTTTGTTTATCTTTTCAAAAATCCAACTTTTGACAGGGCATGGTGGTTCACACCTATAATCCCAGCACTTTGGGAGGCTAAGGTAGGAGGATTGCTTGAGCCCGGGAGTTTGAGACCAGCCTGGGCAACACAGTAAAATGCTGTTTCTACAAAAAGTTATTAGCTAGGTGTGGTAGTGCACACCTGCAGTCCCACCTACTCAGGAGGCTGAGGTGGGAGAACTGCTTGAGCCCAGGAGATCAAGGTTGCAGTGAGATGTGATCATACCACCACACTCCAGCCTCAGCAACAGAACAAGACCCTGTTGAAAAACAAAACCACAAACAACAACAATAAAAACAAAAACCCCAACTTTTCCTTTCATTAATCTGTATTTTTTTTGTCTCAATTTCATTCATTTCTTCTCTGATCTTTTATTTTATTCTACTATTTTGGGTTTGATTTCTGGGTTACCTTGGAAATCACTGACTTTCCTTTAAACTGTTCATTCTTAGAGAGCTCACAATCACCATCTTGTTAGAGTCAGTTACAGATTTTTGCTTTGTCCTTTCGGGGAGGTTATAATTCTGTGTTGTATGAATCTATTTGCATTGCTATAAAGGAATATTTGAGACTGAGTAATTTATAAAGAAAAGGGGTTTAATTGTCTCATCATTCTGCAGGCTGTACATGAAGCATAGTGCTGGCATCTGTTTCTGGTGAGGGCTTCAGAAAGCTTACAATCGTGGCAGAAAGTGAAGGGGAGCTAGCATGTCACATGACAAGAGAGGGAGCAAGAGAGATAGGAGGAAGTGCCAGTCTCCTTTTAATGAACAACTCTCCTGTGAACTCATTACTATGGGGAGAATATCAAGCCATTCATGAGGGGCCCACTCCCATGAACCAAATACCTCCAACTAGGCCCCACCTCTATCACTGAAGGTAACATTTCAACACGGGATTTTAGGGGACAAATATCCAAACTGGTATCACCTGTTTGCTGTTGTTTCTTTTGGATATATGTCTATGTCTTTTCATTGAGGAATTAGTTCTTTCAGTTTTCTGTTTTCTGTCTTTACTTGCTCTAGAGCCCAGGCTGGAGTGCAGTGATGCTATCTTGGCTCACTGCAACCTCTACCTCTCAGGTTCAAGCAATTCTTGTGCCTCAGCACCTGAGTAGCTGGGATTACAGGTGCATGCCAACATGCCTGACTAATTTTTGTATTTTTAAAGTAAAGACAGGGTTTTACTGTGTTGGCCAAGCTGGTCTTGAACTCCTGACCTCAAGCAATCCACCTGCCTCAGCCTCCCAAAGTGTTGGGATTACAGGTATAAGCTACCACACCTGGCATAATTTTTTTTTTTTTAGACAGGGTCTCATTCATCACCCAGGCTGTAGTGCAGTGATGCAATCTCGGCTCACTGCAACCTCTGCCTCCTAGGTTCAAGCAATTATCCTGCCTCAGTCTCCTAAGTAACTAGGATTACAGGCACATGCTACCATGTCCAGCTAAATTTTGTACTTTTAGTAGAGACAGGGTTTCACCATGTTGGCCAGGCTTTTCTGAAACTCCTGACCTAAAATGATCCAACTTAGGCTCCCAAAGTGCTAGGATTACAGGCATGAGACACCATGGCTGGCCTGCTTAGCAAATCTTTACTGCTAGGTTCTTCCTCTTTTTCAGCTTTACGTGGTGCCTTAAACCCAGATTAACCTCAGCTCCAGTAAATTATTGGAGCACTGTCTGTCCTGAATGGAGGAGGTTCTAAAGGAATCATCATGGCAGTGTGAGAACGCTGGCAAGGGGTTTGTGCCCAAGGGATATGTTAAATTACCTCCTTATAGTGTGGAGCTGGTGAACAGCCACTCTGACTTGCCATCCCATTTGGCTGAGTTACAAAGCAATTTCCAGAGCTAAGGATGGTAGTCACACCTTCCCCTTTTGTTTCTACCTGTCCTCATTGGCTATTTCTCAATACTGTCCCTTCAGACAGTCACAGTGTTTCCTGTGGGTAAAGGCAAGGATAAGTCTCCTGCCAGGGAAACCAGGATGGTGGAAAAGTTGGTTGGCCACCTAAATCTCACTTTTTTCAGTGTAGAAACTGAGTTGGGGAAATTTTTTTTTTTCTTTTTTTTTTTTTGCACGCTTACTGCAGGGCAGAATGGGGGATGAGGTAGGCTTTGCAGATGAGAAAGTCTAATTCTCCTACTGTCTGCTCAGAGCTTATTCACTTCTCTGTAGTCCTGGGATCTGTCTCATCCTTCTGTTTGAAGTCTGGGTTGTTGCTGGTGTAAATCTCATCACTGTTTATCAGGTTTTTGTTTTCTGTGGAAGAGAAAGTGAAGCCAGCTTGTTTCTATGCTGTCATTTTAAAATCAGAAGTCTCTAATTTCAGTTCTTTTAAATGTACTAAAGCTTATTTTGTTGCCTAGCATATGATCTATATTTGCAAATATTCCATGTGCCCCTTAAAAAGATACATATTCTTACAGTTTATGGGGATTTTATAAATAACAACTAGGTCAGATTGGTTGATTGGTTGTTCAAGCATCTTACGTCCTTACTGATTTTCTCCCTGCTTGTTTAATCAATTAACAAGTGTTGAAATCTTCAACTATAATTATAAGGTTATTTCTGTTTTCAGTTAAGTCAGTTTCTGTTTCATGTACATACACATTTAATACTTTATTATAAAAGGTTCACTATTGTTCTAAGTAATAGTCCTTGTTTTGTCTCCTATTAGGTAGTCAAGATTTATTAAGATCAGTGTTTACAGAGTATATATTATTCCATCCTTTTACCTTTAATCTGAATCTTTGTATTTAAAATGAGATTTCTTGTAGATAGCACATCCTTGCTTTAAAAAATCTAGTTGGATAATCTTTGCCAATCATTTGGGAAATTTAGATCACTTACATTTAACGCAGTTATCAATATGCTTGGATTTAGATCTACCATCTTATTTTTATTTTCTCTCTGTTACATCTGTTTTTTATTTCCTTGTCCTTTTCCTGCTTTCTTTCAGAGTATTTTAAGTTCTGGGATACATGTGCAGGTTTGTTACATAGGTAAACATGTGTCATGGTGGTTTGCTGCACCTATCAACCCGTCACATAGGTATTAAGCCCAGCATGCATTAGCAGTTTTTCATGATCCTCTCCCTACCCCTGGCAAACCCCAACCCTGATAGGCCCCAGTGTATGTTGTTTCCCTCCCTGTGTCCATGTGTTCTCATTGTTCAACTCCCACTTATAACTGAGAACATGCAGTGTTTAGTTTTCTGTTCCTGCATTAGTTTGCTGAGGAAGCTGTTATTCTTGGCAAACTAATGCAGGAATGGAAAATGATCATGTTCCTTTTTGTGGCTGCATAGTATTCCATGGTGTATATGTACCAACTTTTCTTTATCCAGTCTATCATTGATGGGCATTTCAGTTGATTCCATGTCTCTACTATTGGGAATAGTGTTGCAATGAACATATGCACGACTCTTTACAATAGAATGATTCATACTCCTTTCAGTAATGGGTTTGCTGAGTCAAATTGCTGGTACTTCTGGCTCTAGATCTTTGAGGAATTGCCACATTGTCTTCCACCTTGGTTTAACTAATTTATATTCCCACCGACAGTGTAAAAGTGTTCTTATTTCTCCTCACCTGCATTTGTTGTTTCTCAACTTTTTAATAATTGCCATTCTGTCATGAGATGGTATCTCATTGTGGTTTTGATTAGTATATCTCTAATGATCAGTGATTTTAAGCTTTTTTTCATATGTTTGTTGGGTACATGAATGTCTTCTTTTGAGAAGTGTCTGTTCATTTAGTGTGCCCACTTTTTAATTTTTTTTTGTAAATTTGTTTAAGTTCCTTGTAGATTCTGAATATCAGACCTTTGTCTGACGGATAGATTAAAATATTTTCTCCCATTCTTTAGGTTGCTTGTTTCCTCTAATGATAGTTTCATTTGCTGTGTAGAAGCTCTTTAATTAGATCCCACTTGTCAATTTTTGCTTTTGTTGCAATTGCTTTTGACATTTTTGTCATGAAATCTTTGCCTGTGCCTATGTCCTGAATGGTATTGCCTAGATTTTCTTCTAGGGTTTTTATAGTTTTGTTTTACATTTAAGTCTAATCCATCTTGAATTAATTGTTGTATAAGGTGTAAGAAAGAGGTCCAGTTTCAATTTTCTGCAAATGGCTAGCCAGTTCTCCCAGCACCATTTATTAAATAGGAAATCCTTTCCCCATTGCTTGTTTTGTCAGATTTGTCAAAGATCAGATGGTTGTAGATTTGTGGTCTTATTTCTGAATTCTCCATTCTGTTCCATTGGTCTATATTTGTGTTTTTGTACCAGTACCATGCTGTTTTGGTTACTGTAGCCTTGTAGGATGGGTTGAAGTGTCTGATGCCTCCAGCTTTGTTGTTTTTACTTAGAATTGTCTTAGCTATATGGGTTCTTCTTTGATTCCATATGAATTTCAAAGTAGATTTTTCTAATTCTGGGAAGAATTTCAATGGTAGTTTAATGGGAATAGCATTGAATCTATAAATTACTTTGGGCAGTATGGCCATTTTCACAATATTGATTCTTCCTATCCATGAGCATTAAATGGTTTTTCTTTTTTTGTGTGTCCTCTCTGATTTCCTTGAGAGTGGTTTGTAATTCTTCTTGAAGAGTTCCTTCACTTCCCTTGTTAGCTGTATTCCTAGGTATTTTATCTCTTTGTAGCAATTGCCAATGGGAATTCATTCATGATTTGGCTCTCTGCTTGTCTATTGTTTGTGTATAGGAATGCTTGTGATTTTTGCACATTGATTTTGTATCCTGAGACTTTGCTGAAACTGCTTATCAGATTAAGAAGCTTTTGGGCTGAGATGATAGGATTTTCTACATATAGGATCAGGTCATCTGCAGACACAGTTTCTGACTTCCTCTCTTCTTATTTGAATACGCTTTATTTCTTTCTCTTGCCTGATTGCTCTGGCCATAACTTCCAATTCTATGTTAAATAGGAGTGGTGAGAGATGGCATCCTTATCTTGTGCTGGTTTTCAAGGGGAATGCTTCCAGCTTTTGCCCATTCAGTGTCATGTTGGCTGTAAGTTTGTCATACATGGTTCTTATTGAGGTATGTTCCATCAATACCTAGTTTATTGTTTTTAACATGAAGCAATGTTGAATTTTATTAAAGGCCTTCTTTGCGTCTATTGAGATAATCATGTGGCTTTTGTCATTCATTCTGTTTATATGTTGAATTATGTTTATTCATTTGCATATGTTGAACCAGCCTTGCCTCCTGGGGATGAAGCCAACTCGATCATGGTGGATAAACTTTTTGATGTGCTACTGGATTCAGTTTGCCAGTATTTTATTGAGAATTTTTACATTGATGTTCATCAGGGATATTGGCCTGAAGTTTTCTTTTTTTGTTGTATCTCTGCCATGTTTTGGTATTAGGATGATGCTGGCCTCATAAAATGAGTAAGGGAGGAGTTCCTTCTTTTCAGTTGTTTGGAATAGTTTCAGAAGGAATGGTATCAGTTCCTCTTTGTACCTCTGGTAGAATTCAGCTGTAAATCTATCTGGTTCTGGCTTTTTCTGGTTGGTAGGCTATCTATTATTGCCTCAATTTCAGAACTTGTTATTGGTCTATGCAGGGATTCAATTTCTTCATGGTTCAGTCTTGGGAGGGTGTATATGTTCAGGAATTTATCCATTTCTTCTAGATTTTCTATTTTATTTGCATAGAGGTGTTTATAATATTCTCTTATGGTTGTATGTTTTTCTGTGGGGTCAGTGGTGATGTCCCCTTTATCATTTTTATTATGTTTATTTGATTCTTCTCTCTTTTATTGTTTATTAATATAGCTAGTAGTCTTATCTATTTTATTAATTTCTTTCTCAAAAAGCAGCTCCTGGATTTACTGATTTTTTGGGGTTTTTTTTTTGTGTGTGTGTTTCTGTCTCTTTCAGTTCTGCTCTGATCTTGGTTATTTCTTGTTTTCTGGTAGCTTTGGGGTTTTTTTGCTCTTGGTTCTCTAGTTCTCTTAGTTGGGATATTAGGATGCCAAATTGAGATCTTTCTAGCTTTTTGATATGGACATTTAGTGCTATAAATTTCCCTCTTAACACTGCTTTAGCTGCATCCCAGAGATTCTGGTACATTGTCTCTTTGTTCTCATTAGTTTCAAAGAACTTCTTGATTTCTGCCTTAATTTCATTATTTACCCAGGAGTCCTTGAGAAGCAGGTTGTTCAATTTCCATGTAATTGTGTAGTTTTGATTGAGTTTCTTAATCTTGAGTTGTCATTTGATTGTGCTGTGGTCTGAGAGACTGTTACGATGTTAGTTCTTTTGCATTTACTGAGAAGTATTTTACTTCCAATTATATGATTAATTTTAAAGTGCCATAGGGTGCCAAGAAAAATTCATATTCTGCCATTTTGGGATGGAGAGATCTGTAGATAACTATCAGGTCCACTTGATCCAGAGCTGAGTTCAAGTCCTGAATATTTTTGTTAATTTTCTGTCTTGATGATCAGTCTAATATTGATAGTGAGGTGTTAAAGTCTTCCACTATTATTGTGTGGGAGCCTCTTTGTTGGTTTCTAAGAACTTGTTTTATGAATCTGAATGCTCTTGTATTGGGTGCATATATGTTTAAGATAGTACCTCTTCTGGTTGAATTGAGCCCTTTATCATTATGTAGTACTTTTCTTTTTAATTGTTGTTGGTTTAAAATCTGTTTTATCAGAAACTAGGACTGCAACCACTGCTTTTTTTCTGTTTTCCATTTGCTTGGTAGATTTTCCTCCATCCCTTTATTTGGAGCCTGTGTTTCTTTGCACATGAGATGAGTCTCTTGAATACAGCCCACCTATGGGTCTTGACTATCCAGCTTGCCATTCTGTGTCCTTTAATTGAGGCATTTAGCCCATTTACATTTAATGTTAATATTGGTATGGGTGAATTTGATCCTGTCATCATGATGCTAGCTGGTTATTTTGCAAACTTAATACTGTTGCTTCATAGTGTCATTGGTCTGCGTACTTCAGTGTGCTTTTGTAGTGGCTGATAATGGTTTGGAATTTTTTTTTTAGTGTTCCATTTGATCTCCACCTCTGGGTGTGTGTGTGTGTGTGTGTGTGTGTGTGTGTGTTATGTCTATATATAGATACAGATATATACAGACACACACATATACACATTCTTTATATATATTGTATATATATTTTTGTGGCTGCTCTAAGGCTGTAAAACAGTGTTTCTCAACCAGAGTTGATTTTTCCTCCCCAAGGGATATTTAGCACTGTCAAGACATTTTTGGTTGTCACAACTGGGGGGCAGGGAAGCCTGTTTGGCTACTATTGGCATCTACTGGGTGGAGACCAGGGATGCTGCTAAATCTCCTTTTGTGTACAGGATAATGCCCCTCAAGAAAGAATTATCCAGACCCAAAGTCAATAGTGCTAAGACAGAGAAACCCTTCTCTAAGTTTCACAAGTAGCATCTTGAACTCATCACAGTTTACCTTCAAATAATGATATACCATTTTTCATATAATGTAAGAATCTTGAAAGACTATACTTCCATTCTTTGAGCAAGATAATGTTGTCCTGCACTATATATGTAATCAACTCTATAATACATTATTATTACAGCTATCTTTAAAGAAATTAGACTATGAGGAAAATGATTTTTTAAAATATACTTATTGAACATTCCATTTCCACTGATTTCTATTTCTTGGTGTAACTCGAGATTTCCATCTGCCATTATTTTCTTTCTGTATGGGGTATTTTCTTTAACATTTCTTGTAATACATATCTGCTAACTGTGATTACCTGAGTCCTTGTTCATCTGAAAATGTCTTTAAACTTTATTTTTAAAGAATACTTTCACTGGTTATACAATTCTGAATTGATAGGGGTTCCCCCCTCTGCCCCAACCTTTCAGCACTTGAAAAATGTCATTCTGTTTTTCTGGCTTGTAATTTTCTGAAAATAAGTCTATAGACATTATTTATTCAGCTATTAAGAATTTTTTTTTCCTCCACGTGCTATTAAGCTGTTTCTATGTGTCACTGGTTTTCAGGAATTTGATTATGAAGTGTTTGGACATAATTTTTAATTTCTTTTATGTACTATCTTTCTTGGGGTTTGTTGAAGTTCTTGGACCTGTGGGGTTATAATTTTCATCTAATTTAAAAATTTTCAGCCATTATTTCTGCAATATTTTTTCTGTCCTCACCCTATCTTCTGGGACCCAAACTACATGTATATAAGCCTACTTAATGTTGTCCCCAAATTTCCAAGACTTGGCTAATTTTGCTCAGCAGTTTTTCTCTCTTTGCTTCATTTTACATAGTTTCTATTTCTATGCTTCAATTTCAATAATCTTTTCTGCAACAGTGTCTAATCTGTATTAATTCCATTAAATTTTAAAAATACCATATATATTTTTCATCTCTAGAAATTATAGTTTTAAAAATTTTTAATTTCTCTCCTGCTCATTCTTCCTTTTGAATACATATAGTTATCATAGTTATTTTAACACTCTTATTGCTAGTTCCATCATTTTTGTAATTTCTGAGTCTGTTTCTATTGACTGGATTTCCTTTTATGTGCTACATTTTTCTGCTTTCTAGGCACTTGTAATTTTTTATTGGATGTTGGATACTGTTAATGTTGATTAGTTCAGATTAGGTTTGAATTCCAACTATACTCAGAAGTGAGAAGAAAAGTTTTCAGTCTTTTGCCTAATATGTATTTCTCATTAGACTGACAAATTTGTAAGACATTTAAATCTTCTGACTGGTGATATCTAGCTTTTTTCTCCTTATTGCAGGATGTTAATGTTGCTTGAAAATTAGTGTGATTACTCCTGAACTTGGATTTTACTTTGCTGTTTTGATCTAAATCAACCACACCTTTCTGCTTTGAGTTGCCTTGTCCACTGCAAATTCAGCAACTGATGTCTTCACAAATAAATCCTGGTGAATTAGTAAAATGCTTATTTTTAGTTAATATCACTTTTTAAAAGTCAAGCTGGGCTGGGCATGGTGGCTTATGCCTGTAATCCCATCACTTTGGGAGACTGAGGAGGGTGGATCACTTGAGGTCAGGAGTTTGAGACCAGCCTGGCCAACATGGTGAAATTTCGTCTCTACTAAAAAATAAAATAAATAAAAAATAATTAGCTGGGCTTGGTGGCAGGCGCCTGTAATCCCAGCTACTCAGGAGGCTGAGGCAGGAGAATTGATTGAATATGGGAGGTGGAGGTTGCAGTGAGCCGAGATTGCACCACTGCACTCTAGCCTTGGCGACAAGAAGGAAACTCCATCTCAAAAAAAAAAAAAGTCAAGCTGGAGCTAGTTGACATTTTTTTCACAAGGTACAGTGGGTCTGTTGCTAAAAGAAAAAAGAGGCAGTTATCAGAAGTTATCTGTGATAACTTATTTTTGAAATATTTTCATTATAAAATTTTAAATCTTTTTTCTCTTTGTAGTTTAGAAATATGGTACTTTACAATGAGTTCATTTTATTCACAATGTACCATTTGAAAGCAGTTCTATTTCAAATGAAGCTCTTTTAAAATAGGCTTCCACATATAGGAGACACTGTTACCTCTAATCTTTTTGGGTGATTCTCTCCCTACCTTCACATAGATTTCTTGTGTGCAAGCACTTGTAAGTACTCTGTTGGATGATCTTGGTAGAGCACTGCAGATATATGGAGTTCTCGCTGTGTGTTGCTCTCTTTTCTCAGATATGTTGTCCTGTAGACTTTAGCTGCTTTGTTCACTCTGAACTCTCAGATTCATCTCCTTAACACAGGGAGTGTGCAGGGCTCTGCCTGGGTTTTCCTGTCTGATCTGTGGCCTGGAACCTCTTTGAAGGCAGTAAGCTGGGGCAAGAGTAGGGCTTATGTTAGTTGTTTACCATCTCTCAGGGATCACTGTCATTTGTTGCCTGATACCATTTTGAAAACTGCTGTATCATACATTTCGTCCATTATTTAGTTGTTTCAGGTGGGTAGGATGGAGCCCTTGGTGACCTTAGAGAACAGTTTTAATGAAGTAGTGAGAACAGCAGGGTTGAGTGAATGAGAAGTAAAGACATGTATCGTTTGAGAAGTTTTGCTGTTAAGACAGACGAGAAGTCAGGTTGTAGCTAGAGGGGAATATGGTTTAAAGAGGTTTTTCCTTTAAATGATAAATGATAGAGCATATTTGATGCAGATAAGAATTATCTAATTGAAAAGAAGAGGTGGATAAAGCAGTAGAGAGGGGTGAAAGATTGAGGCCTTTCTAAAGACACAGGATGAGACCCAGAGTACAAGTTCAAAGAGTGGACTTTGATAGGGCCAGAGAAATTTTTTCTCTTTAACTTGGAATATGATTACAGATAAAAGTTCTGATAGTGGTAAAGAGAAATAACTCAACTCATTGCTTTCATTTTTCCAATAAAATATAAAAAGGGTCATTAGATGAGAATAGAGTGTGGGAAGGGAGGCAAGAGAGATGTGTGAAAGAAGTTGAGAATGGAAGAGAAGCTATGAAACGATCATTTTGGAAAAGTGGAAAGGCAAACTCGCTAGGGAAACTTGGCCTGCTTGGCAGTGTTCAGTGCCCACTTGAGGTGTGTGTTAGGGTTCTCCAGAGGGACAGAACCAATGGGATATATGTATATTAAAAAAGAGTTTATTAGGGAGAACTGGTTCACACAATTACAAGGTGAAGTCCCACAACAGGCCTTTTGCGAGCTGGGGAAAGAGAAGCTGGTAGCATGGCTCAATCCAAGCCTGAAAGCCTCAAAACCAAAGAAGCTAACAGCGTAGATCTCAGTCTCAGGCCAAAGGCCTAAGAGCATCTGGGAAGCCGCTGATGCAAGTCCCAGAGTCTACAGGCTGAAGAACCTAGAGTCAGAGACACCCAAAGGCAGGAGAGGAAGCAAGTGCCCCGCAGGACATGGGAAGAGACAGCAGGAGACTCAGCAAGCTGCTTATCTCCATTTTTCTGCCTGCTTTGTTCTAGTTGTAATGGTAGCCGACTGGACAGTGTCCACCACACTGAGGGTGGGTCCTCCTCTCCCAGTCCACTGACTCAAATGCCAGTTTCCTCTGGCAACACTTCATTCACAATCACATCCAGAAACAATGCTTCATCAGCCATCTGGGCATCCCTCAATCCAGTCAAGTTGACTCCTAACATTAACCATCACAAGGTGTATGATCTTGAATTTAAAGTAAAACCAACCAACAAACATTGTTATGCTTTTTCCTTGACAATATCCATTACTTTGGTGCTAGTATGGAGAAGACAGACATTTAGATTCAATCAGAGTGAGGCTTTGTGGTAAATATGATAGAGTAAGAGGGAACAAAGGAGTCAGCAGTCTTCACTAGTATATGATTTTAATGATGTATCATGAAACTCAAGCTGAGTAACAGCAAAAAGGGTAATGGTTTGTGGACAAAGTACTGGAGTTAGAAAGTAAGGAAATAATCAAATAATTATTGAGGCATACCAAGAGGAAGAAGCCAATTTGAAGAGGCACCAAGTGGCCAAATCTGGGGAAATCTGAGCAACACAGTCACGATAGCTAAAAGATATCCTAAAGAAAAAAATGTGCCCTAGATCACGTCAGGGTCACCACCTGAGATGTGGGTCCCACCACCATGGAAGTCTGACCGGCAGACCCTGACTCAACGATGGATGAATGAATGCATTTTCACACCATTACAGCATTCCAAGTGGGCTAGGGAATGGCCACTGGCTGCTTTCAGAGGGCGAAATGCAATCAATCCACCCAGACCCTCTGTCTGTCCATACTTTCATTCATAACAGAGGTTCTAAGTTAACATACTTGTGAATAATTAACATGGTTAAGAGAACAGTTTTATGACTGACAAAAGCTTTAGGTTTGGGGCCCAGAGTAAATGCTATTCACAAGTAATTCCGCTTAGATCTTCCCCAAGGCCATCCAACACAAAATTAACATGAGTAAACAGAGTGGAGACAAATGGGTGTAGGGTAAGGCCTTTGATCATCTCTCTCTCTCCCTAACTTAATGCACTGGCCGCCTTCGGCCTGCCCCAATAAAACCCTTTGGCCTTCCAAAAGGTTTGAGGCTAATCTTTAACTTTCCCTAATATATATTTAATATTTTCTGAAATATTTTGACAACCACATCGAGTGAATCTAAACAAAACAATAAACATCTAGGATTCCATTTTATTATTTCATTTATTTTTGAGACTGAATCTCAATCTGTTGCCCAGGCTGGAGTGCAATAGTGCAATCTTGGCTCACTGCAACTTCTGCCTCCCAGGTTCAAGTGATTCTCCTGCCTCAGCCTCCCGAGTGGCAGGGACTACAGGCATGTGCCACCAAGCCTGGCTAATTTTTGTATTTTTAGTAGAGACAAAGTTTCACTAGTTTAGCCAGGCTGGTCTCAAACTCCTGACCTCAAGTGATTTGCCTGCCTCAGTCTCCCAAAGTGCTGGGATTACAGGCATGAGCCACCATGCCCGGTAGATTCCATTTTAAAACAAACAAACAAACAAATGGTGCAAAGGAGCTGCTTTTTATTCTAGTAGAATAACAATTAATAAATGCAAGAGTAATGGTAGCAATGAAAATCACCACTTGGCCAACACCATATTATGCTGCAAGCAAGAATCATTGACCATGCTAAAATTTGTGGGCAAATGCATGATGGTAAGCAGGATATTTCCACAGTGTCAAAGTATCTCTTCACAAAATACTCATTACCAAGAGAAAAATGGTAATTCTGCAGTAATAAAACTGGCAGACAGCACCTTAAACAAGTGATCAAAGTTAACATCAGCACTAATAACAAATATTGACATCATGTACTCCCTTATGTGATGGGTTGAAAAGGCCACAATATCCATTCTGTTATATTCTTGCCAAAAATGCATAATTTTCATTTAAAATTATGAGAAAGCAACATCGAAATTGAAGAACATTGTACAAAATAGCTGGTCAGTGACTTCAAAACTGTCAAAATCATGAAAGATGAAGACTGAGGAAGTATCCTAGGTTGGAAGAGATTAAGAAGACATGACTACTAAAGGCTATGTGGGATCTTAGATCTTGACAAGAAAATGAGCAAAATTTTTGCAGTTTGTGAAATTTAAATAAGGACTGTTGATTAGTTACTTGTGTTTTATCTGTGTTAATTTCCTGTTATAATTGTATTATGGTTATAAAAATGTTAATCACAAGAGAAGCTGGATAAAGGATATACTGCAACTGTGTACACTAGTTTTGCAACCTATTTGTAGGTGTAGAATTCTTTTAATTCTTGATAAAAAGTTAAAAAGTCAGGAGTTAGTGGATTTAGAGATCTGAATGAAATTAAACAAATATTTTTATGACGTACTAGCAAAAGCCCTGGAAATATAGGTGCTCTTCAGGGAGTGGAATGTTTGATGTTAAGATTTTGGGGATGCTAGAATGTTAAAGTGGTGTAGGAAATGTAGAAAATTACTACATCAGAAGTATTTACTCCTAATAGTTAGTAGTATTTCAAGTGGGATGCAGGAAAAGAGAGTTGAAGGTAAAAATTTTAAGGAAAGAGGCCACTGGCTGGGCACAGTGGCTCACACCTGTAATCCCAGCACTTTGGGAGGCTGAGGTGGAGGGGATTACTTGAGCCCAGGAGTTCGAGATCAGTCTGGGCAACATGGTGAAACTCCATCTCCACAAAAAACACAGAAATCAGTTGGTCACAGTGAGGTGTGGTCATAGTCCCAGCTATGCTGGAGGCTGAGGTGGGAAGATAGCTTGAGCCTGGGAGATGGAGATTGCAGTGAGCTGAGATTGTGCCACTGCACCCCAGCCTGGTTGACAGAGCAAGACCTTATCTCAAAAGAAAAGAAAAGAGGCCATCAACTCAACAACAAAAGACAAGTAACCCAATTAAAAATGGGCAAAGAATTTGAAAAAACATTTCTCTAAACAAGATGTACCATGGCCAATAAAGCACACACAAAGATGCTTCACATAATTAACCATCAGGGAAACACCAACAAAACCCCAGTGATACCACTTCACATCCACTAGTGTGGTTACAATAAAAAAGACAGATGATAATAACTATTGGTAAAGATGCAGAGAAAGGAACCCCCATATATGGCTGGAGGGAGTGCAAAATAGTGCAACCACTTTGGAAAACAGTTTGGAAATTCCTCAAAAGATTAAACTTAGAGTTACCATATGACCTGGCAATTCCACTCCTAAGTATATACCCAAGAGAACTGAAAACGTATGTCCACACAAAAACTTGTATATGAATGTTCACAGCAACATCATTAATAATAGCAAAAAAGTAGAAACAATCCAGATGTCTAATAATTGATGAATAGATATGCAGAATGTGGTATAGCCATACAATGAAATACTATTCAGCAAGAAAAAGTAATAAAGTGCTGGTACATGCTGGTTGTCCTGAGAACACTGGTGCCATTGAATTTCTCTCAAATGGCACTGGTTTATCACAGCATTTTCAAGGTTCATCCACGGCTCTGGTTCCTCAAAGTTGGATCAAAGTTCATCAAAGTCACTTACTGGCCCTGATATACATGGGAGTATGAGAGGATGTATCTGCCATTAGAGAGGACTTTAATGACAACAGTGTTCTTAGGATAACCAGATTTCAACTAAGTTGTAAGGAGCTTGTGGTAGAGAAAGCAGATCACATAAGCTTATATCGCAGTGAGTATTACAGAAGGAAAATAAGTTTTTACCCATTTGAAAGATTAAAATGATATATGCTATAAAAAACTAACATAATCTTCTTGCCTTTGTAGAAATAGGTCTCTATTGAATGTATTTTGCTAGATATTTTGGAATTACTTTGTTAACATATTCACTTACAACACTGTCATGAATGCCATGTAGAAATAAAAAATTCAGTTGGTTTAGAGTCCAAAATTCAAACACTCCTAAACTTGGACAACAAAAATGATGATGAGTTCACTATCTGAACTCATAAACCTTGCAAAAGTAACACCATCCTCAACTGGGCAACATAAGGTTTTTCCATACTGTTCAGGCTAAAAAGGAGGTTTAAAAAGTGCTGAAGCTTCAATATTGTTGCAATTTCAAGATGTTCATGATTCTTTATAAATAGGCAGCTGATGCCAAAAAGGAAAGACAAAGGTGGTTTTAAATATTAGAATATTGTATCTCTTTAAGCTACTTAACCAATAATCCAACCACTATTTTGTATTATCTCTCATTGTGCAGTGAATTGACTGAGTTCAGCTTGTCAGATCTTTCTCTGGGTCTCTTGTGTTTGCATCAAATGAGGGCTGGAGTAATCTGAAAGCTAGATTGGACTGGATATCTAAGAATACACAGATAGATATATATATGTATATATTATTTATGTGTAAACATAATATATAGATACATATATACATATATTCTTGTGGAATTCACTATATTCCACATTTTAATTACTTTTGTGCTATGCTCTTTTATTCCAAATTATAATGAAAATAATTTGAGGGTAGAGAGTGTGTCTTACACAGCTTTCACAGTACTTTCACAATTTGTTCTCATTTGAAACTCAATTTCACTGTCAGTTGCTTACTGAATACCCAGTATGGATCAAGGTCACACAACTAATAAGTAATAGAACTGGGACTTAAAAGTTGCTCTAGCTCCTCTGGCTTTACTAACACATTATAAAAGATATCAAAAATATTTGTTGAATCTGACTATATTGCCATAATCACATTTTAAGACATTAATGGACTTTGAAATAATTAAATGTCTAAAATACCTTTTAAAACAGTAAGATGTATTTTCTTTTATAATACAATCAGTGTGAACATACTAGTATTATTAGAATATTTTATGATTATTTCTTTACATTTCTTTCCTCCCAAATGACTGCAGACACCGTATCAGGATGTCTTATTAGATTTGCATCGCCAATATTTAACACCATGCCTGGCACATAATGAACTATCAATAATTTCATGCAACATTCAGAAACCTGAGAAGAATCTAAGCAATGATATTTATTAAAATGAAATATATGAGAAGTCAATTAACAAAAGAAATCACCAATTGACCACTGACTATCTTTTCTTTTTCTTTTTTTTTGAGATGAGAGTTTCACTCTTGTTGCCCAGGCTTGAGTGCAATGGCACGATCTTAGCTCACTGCAACCTCCACCTCCCAGGTTCAAGTGATTGTCTTGCCTCAGCCTCCTGAGTAGCTGGGATTACAGGCTTGTGCCACCACGCCTGGCTAATTTTGTATTTTTAGTAGAGACAGGGTTTCTCCATGTAGGTCAGGCTGGTCTCAAACTCCCGAACTCAGGTGATTCACTTGCCTCAGCCTCCCAAAGTGCTAAGATTACAAGCATGAGCCACAGCGCCCAGCCTGTCTTTTCTTTTACTAAAGTTTTCCCTGAAGAAATTGATATATTGGTCTAGACTCAATTAATAAAGCCACAGGAGTGAATACATCAATAAAAGAAGAATAGCAGGCCAGGAGTAGTGGCTCATGCCTGTAATCCCACTGCTATGGGAAGCCAATACAGGAGGATTGGTTGAGGCCAGCCTGGGTAACACAGCAAGACCCCATCACTAAAAAAAAAAATTTTTTTAAATAGCTTGATAAGGTGGCATGCACCTGTACTCCCAGATATTTGTGAGGTCAAGGTGAGAGGACTGCTTGATTCCAGGAGTTGGAGGCTGCAGTGACCTACCATTGCTCCATTGCATTCCAGCCTGGGTGACAGAGTGAGACCCTGTCTATAAAAAAATGAAAATTTAAAGAGAAAGAGAGAGAATAATTTAGGGGCAAAAGCCAGAGCTATGAATACAGTACTCTAGGAATGCCCAACACAAAAAAGAATGATCAATGGAGAATTTTATGTCAATGAAGAATTTTCTGTGTCCAGGTGATTTTTAACCAATAGGCATGAGTAGAAAATAGCATATCTGTTGAGTGTCTACTATGTACCAGCCATTGTACAAGGGTGCTAGATAATGTACCAAATGGATAATGTGCAGGTAGATAATCAAAAGCAGGTGATAATATAGTGTGCTTTGACAATGTAGGTCAATAACAACTTGGATAATTAAATTACAATTGAAACAATTCTGATACAAGTTCTATTCTTGTTTATATAAGACAGCATTAGAAATCTTTATCACTGGTTTGAAAAATTTGTTATCATGGAATACTACCATACGTTTAATATATTAATTACCGATTCTTAACCAAAGGTAAACTTAGGAGAAAACTATCTTTAAAAGCCTTACGATTTTGTTAAATATTTCTTTAGCACCTATTCTGTACTTCATAGTAGACTAGCCTCTGGGAATATAGGAAATAATAGGTTGAATTCTTTGCAATGTTCATATAACCTCATGGGAGAGGCCAGACATATATAGGTGATGACAATTTCATTACCTTTGTGTTTTATTCTTCAAAGACTGTCATGAAGTGTAATTTTTCATATAATGCTGGTTTTGGAGGCCAAGACCAGCATTTTAAAAAGTTTTAAGTTCATGGGTACATGTGCAGATTTGTTACATAGGTAAACTTGTGTCACAGGGGTTTGTGGTACAGATTATTAAATCATCCAGGTATTAAGCCTAGTATCCATTGGTTATTTTTCCTGATCCTCTCCCTCCTCCCACTCTTCACCCTCCAGTAGGCCCCAGTGTATGTTGTTCCCCTTATGTGTTCATGTGTTTTCATTTAGCCCTCCACTTATAAGTGAGAACATGAGGCATTTGGTTTCCTGGTCCCGCATTGGTCAGCTAAGGATACTGGCCTCCAGCTCCATCCATGTTCCTGCAAAGGACACAATTTTTTTTTAATGGCTGCATAGTATTTTATGGTGTATATGTACCACATTTTCTTTATCCAGTCTGCCATTGACGGGCATTAGGTTGATTCCTCATCTTTGTTATTTTGAATAGTGCTGCAATGAACATATGCATGAACAATTTATATTCCTCTGGGTATATACCCAGTAATAGGATTGCCGGGTCAATTGGTATTTCTGGTTTTAGTTATTTGAGAGATCGCCACCCAGTCATCCTCAATGACTGAACTATTTTATACTCTCACCAAGAGTGTATAAGCATTCTTTTTTTTCCACAACCCCACCAGCATCTGTTATTTTTTGACTAATAGCAATTCTTACCAGTGTGAGATGGTATCTGCCTTTTGATCTGCCTTTCTCTAATGATAGTGATGTGACCTCTTTTTCCTATGACTATTGGCCGCATGTATGTCTTCTTTTGAAAAGTGTCTGTTCATGCCTTTTGCCCACTTTTTAATGGGGTTGTTTTTTTCTTGTAAATTTAAGTTCCTTATAGATGCTGGATATTAGACCTTTGTCAGATGCATAGTTTGCAAAAATTTTCTCCCATTCTGTAGGTTCTCTGTTCACTCTGTTGACAGTTTCCTTTGCTGTGCAGAAGCTCTTTAATGAGATCCTGTTTGTCAAATTTTGCTTTTCTTGCAATTGTTCTTGGTGTCTTCATCATGAAATCTCTGCCCATTTCTATGTCCAGAATGGTACTGCCTATGTTGTCTTCCAGAGTCTTTATAGTTGTTTTACATTTAAATCTTTAATCCATCTTAATTTTTGTATATGGTGTAAGGGGTCCAGTTTCTGTTCTCTGCATATAGTTAGCCAGTTATCCCAGCACTATTTATTAAATAGGGAATCCTTCCCCCATTTCTTATTTTTGTAATGTTTGTTGAATATCAGATAGTTGGAGGTGTGTGGCCTTATTTCTGAGTTACCTATTCTGTTCCATTGAAGACCAGCATTTATGTGTTCATCTTTGTTACCACACATACAAAATTATATTTTTATTTTTTTGAGACAGTCTTGCTCTGTCACCCAGGCTAGCATGCAGTGATGTGATTTCAGTTCACTGCAACCTCCACCTCCAGTGTTCAAGCAATTCTTGTGCCTCAGCCTCCTCAGTAGCTGGGACTACAGGCATGCACCACCACGACTAGCTAATTTTTGTATATTTAGGAGAGACAGGATTTCACCATGTTGCCCAGGCTGGTCTGGAACTCCTGGCCTCAGGTGATCCACCTGCCTCAGCCTCTCAAAGTGTTGGGATTACATGTGTGAGCCACTGCACCCACCCTACAATCCAGTATTTTAATAAATCATAATTGCATTTTACTGCCTCTACTAAAAGCAACTGAATCCCACAAACTACTAATTATTCTAGCAATTGATTAGCCCAGTGAAAAAAATCTCTCATTTATTCCTCCTACACACCAATGCTTTTTTTTTTTTTTTTTTTAAAGACAAGGTCTTGCTCTGTTGCCCAGGCTGAAGTGCAGTGTTGCAATCATGGCTCACCGCAGCCTCAACCTTCTGAGCTCAAGCAATCCTCCTACCTCAGCCTCTGAAGTAGCAAGGACCCCAGGCACATGTCACCACACCTGGCTGATTTCAAAAATTTTTTGTAGGGATGGGTTCTCACTATGTTGCCCAGGCTGGTCTCAAACTCCTGGGCTCGTGATCCTTCCACCTCAGTTTCCTAAAGTGTATGAGTTTCCTACAGGTATGAGCCACCAAACCCAGCTATCAGTACTCTTTCTATTCCCAGCCCTTATGGTGAAAGCATTCATAGACTTATTATTTTTATAGAGAAAGGGTTTCACCATGTTGCTTAGGCTGGTTACAAACTCCTGGGCTCAAGAAATCTATTCACCTCAGCCTCCCAAAGTGCTGGAATTGCAGGTGTGCCCTAGCCCTAATTCCTTTGTCTTCCAGGACGCAGTGGTAAGATCACAGGTTACTGCAGCCTTGACCTCCCAGACTCAAGTAATCCTCTCACCTCAGCCTCCTGAGTAGCTGGGGCTACAGGCATGTGCCACCACACCTGGCTTTTTTTTTTTTTTTTTTTTTTAAGAGACAGGGTCTCACTATGTTGCACAGGCTGGTCTCAAACTCCTGGGCTCAAGCACTCCTCGTACCTCTGCCTCCCAAAGTGCTGGGATTACAGGAATGAGCCACCATTACCAGCCTACAGACTGTTCTTCATTCTGTCTGCCTGGAATGCCTGTCAACAAATTTACAGAAAAAGTATCTATCCTCTAAAAACTATCTCATGCAAGTTTTCTCAATATCCAAACAGTGCGACTTCACACTCATATCTATGGTAATTATTTTTTGCTCGTTTTACCCACCTCCCCTTTTTTCTTTTTTTTGAGACAGGGTCTCTCAGTGTCGCCCAGCTCACTGCAACCTCTGCCTCCCAGGTTCAAGCGATTCTCCTGCCTCAGCCTCCTGAGTAGCTGGATTACACGTGTGTACCAGCATGCCAGGCTAATTTCTGTATTTTTAGTAGATATGGGGTTTTGCCATATTGGCCAGGCTGGTCTCAGACTCCTGGCCTCCAGTGATCTGCTCACCTCGGCCTCCCAAAGTGCTGGGATTATAGGTGTTAGCCACCACACCTGGCCTATCCACTCTCACCTTCTATTTCCCCCATATTTCATCTTGCATGTCCTGTAGGATTTAGTGTGCAGAAAGTGCTGAGAAAATACTCACCTAACTGATAGGCTGTGCTGTAAGCAAAAATACTTTCACATTTCTGAAACTTAACATATCAAACATATTAGTGGAAGAGTAAATTAACTTTATTGACTGATGAAAAACTAAAGTGATAAGAAGTGGATAGTAAACAATAACCACTGACTTCTGCTGGAATTCTCTATTTCTTCTTTTTCACTTTAAGCCAAAAGAAATAAAATTATAGACTGTTAGTGAGCTAGTTGCTTTTAGTTCCTTCAACAAAACTGCATAGTTTAGCAGTTGCACAGCATTAAATATATACAATTTTGCAAAATCTTGAAAGTTTTAAACTTTGTGTTGACTTCAAAGGCTAATGTAATCACCTACACTGGTCAGATTCAGAGTTTCTTTTCCCTTTTCTGCCACCCTGTAAAAAAAAAAATAGAGCAAATTATTTAGGACACACCATTTTGGGGCCATTTCATTTTAAGAATATAGACCAAAGGCATTTTGGGGCATGAGAAGGAAGCAGTTTCTTTTTTGATTTTGTTGTAAATTTGAGTCTACACACCACTAAATTATTTTAATATGGTTATTTTTATAAATGGTTTAAGTCGGTTTTTGAAAAGTTACTTCTATTTGAGTAAGTCTTGCCTTAGGTAAGATTACCGGTATCTTATTTTTATAGAGCTCATTTTGACTGTTCCAGAATTTTTTATAAAAATAGTTTTTGATCAATACTAAAAGAAACCATACACTTAATTTGTTCCATATGATCAGAAAATTTACTAATTCAGTTCATTACCTTTTGGGTAATTCAATTTATAATTCAAGTTCTGTTTAGTGTTGCTCATACTAGCAGTAGAAATTTGATTTTGTTCATTAGTGGACTGAAAACTAGGTTGGGCTTTTCATATTGCTCAGTTGCATATATAATATGTATTTAATCTGTTCCATATGAAACATCACTTATGGTATTTGACTTGAGCCAAGGAAAAGGAAAGGCAGCATAAACGACAAGAAGAGTTTTACATAACTATTTTAACATAAGCATAACATCTTCTGTTTATTCTGATTTAAAAAGCAAATACTCATTTGTAAAAATATGGAAAGTATAAATATAAAAAGAAGAAAATTAAAATCATCAATAGCTATTCTATCCCCCTTCAACTTAACCATAAATAATTGTTTGATATATTTACCTTATAATAGTTGTATGCATAGTTTTTCCCATTTTATAAACTTTGGCAATGGTATCTAAACTTAGCTGATCATCAGAATCACTTAAGTAGTAATATTTTTAGAATTCTGACATCTAGGCTTTGTCCCACACCTATTTAATTGGATAACAATCTGTAATTCAAAGTTTCCAACTGATGCCAATGATCAGCCAAGTTTGGGAACTACTTTCTCTGTGCAAGTGCATTTCTTAAAGAGAGGTAGTTGTATTATGGGCAAGCCCAAACTCATTTGATAATGATAGCAGCTTCTCTTCATTTCTTTTACTGTTTTTCTGACTATCACCTCTCTCTCGGAGTCAAAAACATTTCTACAACAACATTATAAAACAAAATGAAATAATACTGAAGTATAATAATGCTGTCATTCACTTCTGACCATATAAAAATTATCCCAAGATTTATTCAGAGAAAAAGAGTATGAATAGATTTTTCGGAACATAAGATGTGTAATGATATATATTAAAAACAAGATTTATTTCCTGGTAGCAGAAAAATTAAAATAAATTTAGCAAAAATATTTTTTGAAGTAGATACCCCCCTAAACTCCTACCATGCTTCTTGATGGGATTTCTTAAAAATCCAAAACAACACACACACAAGAATTATTTTCAAGGTCTCTCAGGTAAAGGGAATTCTCTTTCCTGGACTGATTAAAATTTAAAGCCAGGGCTAATCAACTGCTATGTTCTCCACATTAGTGGCTTTTGAGCTTTTTTGGCTATGATCCCAGTTAATGTATTTTATATAATTTTGAAACACATATATACACATAAATATATATTACACACACACACACACAGAGAGAGAGAGAGAGAGAGAGAGAGACAGAGAGAAAGAGACAGAAACAAAGCAGTGGTATTTTTAATTGCTTCATCCAGGAACAAAATGCTGAATGCTAGCTTATAAATGCAGAAGAAATGGTAAGAGTTAGAAAATCACTATTTTGCAATCACCAAAACAAAAAACAAAAAACAAAAAAGGATGCTAAAGCCACTGGATGAAAAGGATATTCATACAATCTCAAAGTATCACCTCACATGTTAATTACAAAGGGGAAAAATATATATTTACAATGGAGCTATCTAGGAGGTATCACTGTATCCAAGTGATCAACCTTATAAACAAGACAACTGTCCTTTTGTACCTATCCCCAATATGATTCAATGGTATGTATGCTGTATCTATGTATTACCAAGGATTTTCCTAAATTATGCTAGTTATTGCTGTATATACCACTATCTAGAATAACTTTAACATCTTCTAAATTGTAAATTATATGACCAATAACAAAATTGTCAATATATTTGTGAGTAAGTTTTGGCCTAAGAATAAAATACTGCATTTATTCCCACACAGTATCTACTCCAAATGTATTATTTGTGATAAAAACACTTCTAAATTATAAAAGCATACCTGGTATTTGGCTAATTCTGCTTGTAATACTTTCACTTTAGATCTTTCTTGTTCTAATGCAGCATGAAGTGAAGTCACCTATAACCAAATATTCAATCATAAAAAGACATTTTTGGGTCTTTTTTGGCAAATACGCTACTTCTTAACATATTCACAACGATAGGTTTTTGACAACTAAATGGATAAGCAGCAGAGAAGAAACTCTCCCCATAATTTCCATTTGGTATTTTACACAGCTCTATATTAAAGATGGGGCAAACTGACTGTCCTGAGAGAAGAAGACAATAAGGATGTGAAGGGAGGAAAAATCAAGCCCGGATATAGAGTAAGTTCTATCTGCCCTTTCTGTCTCTACAGTCACAGTTCATTAAAATACAACCTTATTGTCCCCCATTCTTCAGGGAGAAGGACATATCTACCTCTTTTAGTGCTATAAGCAGAATCTTCATTTATGTGCTATCATATAATAATAAAGTATAATTTATACCACTTTCTTACAGTATTGATGGGCTATATTTGTTTAGTCAAGTTTAATAATTCAAGACTAGAGACAGCTTAAGAAAACCAGTCATATATACTCCACAGTTTCTCACCTGAATAGTGAGCTCATTCTTGATACTTTGTGATTCATCAACTTGCAGAAGTATTTCTGCCTTATCTTTCACTGACAAAAAAAGAAAAACAGCAGTTGAAAACAATACTTCAGAGAACTAAGACATAGCAGTGCAATCAGAACAATGATTTCTTGTCTTACTTAAAGAATGTACTTCTTGACCTTGTATAGCTCTTACTTTTCATTGGTAAATTTTTGTTTGTTTTACATTTTCACCGGTAAACTCTGATCATTATCACCACAGCATTTTTTCTTAGAAATTTTACATTTTCTATAGTGTTAAAATATTTATTGCTAGGCGTGGTGGCTCATGCCTGTAATCCCAGCACTTTGGGAGGCTAAGGTGGGCAGATCACTTGAAGCCAGGAGTTGGAGACCAGCCTGGCCAACATGGTGAAATCCCATCTCTACTAAAAAATATCATACAAAAATTAGCCAAGTGTGGTGGCACATGCCTATAATCCCAGCTACTTGGGAGGCAGAGGCATAAGAATCCCTTGAACTGGGGAGGTGGTGGTTGCTATGAGCCGAGATTGTGCCACTGCACTCCAGCCTGGGTGACACAGCAAGACTCTGTCAAATAAAAAATACATACATTTTTTAAATTGCACAAATATGACCCATGATTAATTTTTAATCTTCTCTAGGAGAAGTATACAAGAAAATAAATACATTTCACATATGGCAAAAACTTTAAATACCTTGAAAAATCTTAAAGCAAGATTTTAAAAACAATCTTGGTAGCTCACACCTGTAATCCTAGCACTTTGAGAGGCCAAGGTGGGCAGATCACCTAAGGTCGGGTTCAAGACTAGCCTAGTCAATATGGCGAAACTCTGTCTCTGCTAAAAATACAAAAATTAGCTGGGCATGGTGGCGCATGCCTGTAATCCCAGCTACTCGCGAGGCTGAGACAGGAGAAACGCTTGAACCCATGAGGCAGAGGTTGCAGTAAGCCAAGATCGTGTCACTGCACTCCAGCCAGGGTGACAGAGTGAGACTGGTCTCAAAACAAACAAACTATAAAAACAATGTAGTGTTTTTTTGTTGAATTGTTGGGGTGAGCAGACTATAATGCCAATAAAATTATTCTTTGACTTTTCATACCAATAAAGCACTGTCAACTAAATGTAGCTCATGATCACAAATGATCGTATGACATGTGTGGTCTCTTAGAACTATTCATTTGTCTAGAAGCTTCTCTCTCAGGAGAAGCAAGATATCTATATTTTGGCCCTATGCTTACTAAGCTTCAGAAATTTTCACATGGCAAGAACGTCCTTAATTCATGGTAATGGCTAATGTATGAAAAACTAACTCCCCCCTCTAAAAACAAAGTAGGAGAGACTAAAGAGGTAAAACCGTAATAAAATTAGCAAAAGAGGAAATGTTGAAATATGTAAGTACTGATATGATATGATACACAGCTCTGCCAATGTAAGATTGTAGTTCAAATTTATTTTCATGTTTAATATGACGCTCAATAAGATGAAACACCCTATCAAGAATCAATTCAGTCTCTCAAGAATCAACTAGGCAACTTTTACAAATTATGCTTTCTATTCCTCCATTCCCAGGATTATAAGCACTTGCTAAAAACTAGTGATTTTTAATAACTATGTAATATTTCAATTATAGCCAGTTCTCCTATAATCCTTGTTTTGAAAACACAAATTTGTTTCAA